GATGCTCTGCAATGATTAGACAGGAGCCTAGCATAACTGTTTTTTGGAAGACTTCATTTCACAGTTGATGGAAACAGATGCAGAGATCCATAGGCAAACATTAGGCCAAGCTTGGGGAGTCACATTGGATTGAGTGACCTGGAGGGTTCAAGGGAACCACAAGAAGACCTACAGAGTAAATTAACCTGGGCCTATGGGGGCTCACAGAGACTGAACCACCCAAATGAAGAGCATGCATGGGCTGAACCTACCCCCTACACATATGTAGCAGATGTGCAGCTTGGTCTCAAAGAGGGTCCCCTAACAATTCTAGTGGAGCTGTCTCTGACTCTGTTACCTGTCTTTGGATCCTTTTTCCCTAGCTGGGATCCCTTGTCTATCTTCTGTGAGAGAAGATACACTTAATCCTGCTGTGACTTGATATGCAAGGGTGGGTTGGTACCCATGTGGGAGTCACCTATTCTCCTCAGAGAATGGGATGGGAAACTCGAGGATTGGGGGTAAGGGTGTTATTGGGATGAGAGGAGAAAGTGAGCTGTTATCAGGATGTTTAAACAAATAAATGAAAAAAGGAAAAAAAGCAAATGATACAGATATGCAAAGGGAAGCAATAAAAAGGCCTACCATAGAAATAAAGTTAGTTTTACATGCATTTGAAAACTATTTTTCCCATTCTGTAGGCTGTTTTATTACCTAAAGGATGAAGTGCAAAATATATTTCAGTTTTATGACGTCCCATTTATTAGTTGATGGTCTTCAGGTTTGTGCCTATGCTATTTTGGTCCTATTCAGAAAATTCTTTCCTGCAAATTCAAAGGTATCCACTACTTTTTTTCTGTTACTTTTAGGATATCATGAAAAACTTGCAGTTCTTCTGTGATACTTCTAATGTAATATTGTGCATTGTGAGTGATAGAGATCTAGCTTCTTTTTTATGTAGAAGTATATAATTTAGCAAGCACCATTAATATGCTGTTTTTCCCTAATAAATCAGATTATTTTTCAAAGATCCTATGACTGTAGGAGTGTACTTTTGAGTGGTGGACCTCAATTCTATCCCAATGGTCAGTAGCCCATTGTTAAGCAAGTACCATGCTATTTTTATTGCTGAATCTCTTTGACAAAACTTGAAACATGAAATGGAGATACATTCCATGACCAAGGAGGAATTCCAGTGTGAATGGACTGTCCCAGCTCCTGAGTTCATTGCTGCTTAACCAGAAGTGGCAGACTGGTCTGAGGTGCCCTCTGTACCCATCCAGCAGTTCCCTACTAAAGACTGGAGTGCCCAGCCAGCCACTGAGGACTTGTCAGCACCTCCCAAAGCACAGATCACTGAGTGGGTTGGAGCAATCACTGAGTGGTACTGAGCTCCTCTAAAGACACCTGAGCAAAAAGAAAAAGGGTAGAAGAAAAACAAAGTTCCTAAAAGCTGAATAAACACACACACACACACACACACACACACACACAAATACACACATTTTACAAACACTAGTTTTGAGTGTTGGGTGTAATGGTACACTCCTGTAATCCTGGATTTCAGGAGGCTGAGGAAGGATTGTGAGCATGGGTGATATAGTGAGATCATCTCAACAAAAATGACAAGTCAACAGCAACCAGAGATTGTTTTGAGGTTGGGGCATGTAGCTCAATGGTAAATCATGTGCTAAGCATACATAAGATGGCTCTAGGTCCTGTTGTCAGCATCAAAATACCAACCACAAAAGCAGACTATCGGGGCTGGAGAAATGGCTCAAAGATTAAAAGGACTGGCTGTTCTTTCAGAGATCATGAGTTCAATTCTGGCAACCATTTGGTGGTTCACAACACCTATATTGGCATCTGATGTCTTCTGGCATGTGGGTGTATATGCAGATAGAGCATTCATACACAAAACAAAACAAAAAACCCAGAGGCACTGTTATACAGGTCCTGATTTCAATTCCCAGCAACCACATGATGGCTTCCAACGATCTATAATGAAATCTAGTGCTCTCTTCTGCAGTGTATACAGAATAAAAAAATAAATAAATATTTAAAACAAAAACAGGGTATCATCTCAACTAATGACTGTGGTAGATGGGCTAGAAGAGCAGGAAGGGAAGAACAATAGTAGCACCCAGGGTAGAGCTTGCAGCAGATCTCCTCACCAACCATCTGCACCCGCCTCCACACTCCTGTGTGCACACACTGCACCAACACAGCCAGCTTTTTGGAAACGCACCCTATTCATGTGCTTGGGATATGCCCTCAGAGGAGCTGCCTTTGTTCTAATGCTCTGCTAAAACTCTTGAAATACTTAACTTTTGAACAAGGGGTCCTTCACTTTCATTTTGCACTGGACTCTTCAAATTATGTAGCCAAGGCCTGTTTACCAAAAAAGCAATCTAAGTAAGAGCAGCCTGCAAAGCCTCACAGTACTGTAGCCACTGCAGTCATGGGTACTTTCAAAAAAATATCAAGACCCAATGGCCTATGACACAGTCTATCAACCATCTCTGAATTTCTCTTTCCTGCACACCAAACATAGTTCAAACTGAAAGTGGTATGCTTGGTACACATTTTTTTTTGTTCTAAACAGGGCATTTCTGTGTAGCCTTGGCTGTCTTGGCTTTGTAGACAAGGCTGGCCTTGAACTCACAGCCACCTATCTCTGCCTCTCTGAGTGCTAGGCTCACAGGTGTGTGCCACTGTGCCTGGCTTACAGACTTAAATTTAAGACAGAGTCAATAACCTGCTTATTGTCTTTGGGGTTTCTATATAAAGGTTTGGAATGTAGCTCAGTTGGTAAGGTGCTTACCTTGCATCCATGAAGCATTGTGTTTGGTACACACATGTAATCCCAATAAGGAAGTGCAGTCAGGATGATCAGAAGTTCAACATCATCTTTGTGTGTTTCGCAGTTTGAGGCTAGTCTGAGATACATAAAAAAGTTTTACATATATAAAGCCATCTTTTACATACATGGTACCAATGACCAGGGAAACAGGTAAGGAAGGTATTATAGTTTATAATATCTATAAACTATCAAGATGGGAGATAAAAATAATGTGAGGGTGAAGTGGACATGTGGGATGTATGAACAACAGGACTGAATGACAAATGTGGGGCTGAGAGAAAGGCCAATATCAAGGGTAGTAGTCATTAAGATTCTTGCTTAGGCAACTGAGTGGCTCCAGATGTGGTGATGAATGAAAGAAATTTCCACCACGTCTCTCAGTCTCCTTTGTTATGGGTTGGGGAAACAATCTGAAGGGGCCCTAGTTATGCCTGCAGGCCATATGGTCAAATCCAACTCTCAGACTGCCTGCCTGAACTGTAGTGGCTTAACCGCTTACCCCACCACAGCCCACTGGAGGAGTACCAGTGTGAGAAATCCTCCACACTGGGAATCAAATAGGGATCAGCTCCATCTTGTCTTCTAAGGAAAGAAAGGCTGTCATCTCTCTTGTGTAGCTTCATCACTGTGCTGTATTTCCTTCCTCCTTTGTGGCTCCCAGCCTTCAGCAAAACAAATCTGGACTTGCATCATTCTCTCCCTTGTTAGTGAAATGTGATGGTAGTTATTTTAGGGTTTGGGATGGCCATCAGCCAACCTCAGCAATCAGGCTTCCCTGTCTGTGCTTATCAGTTTCAACTGACTGGCAGTTGTTGGGTGAGAAAGCAAGGCATAGCTTCAGTAGATGCTGATGTGTTCATGTGTAGATAGGAACACAGAGTACCTTTATGCCTTTACCTTATGTCATGG